ATATAGTACAATTTGAGTTAGAGCTTACATTCATACAATGTTTGTTAATTCACTTTGTTTTGTACAACAAAACAAACTGGAAAAGGTAAATGTAGTTATTTTTAGCTTACTTTGCTATAACTTGGTTGGAATATACGTTTCAAGTGGCACGTCAAACTTTAAACACGTGTTGTGTTGGTACAATTAGAGTAAGCCTGTAAGCAAATATGGCTGACTTGGCCGCAACTTGAGAGTTGTTGAATGTTTATGACATTTCGAAATGGAATAAGATATATGTACTTTAAAATTTCGGCATATGTACAGTGTACATATATGTAGAAATATCTTAATAATAAATGCTTCGGTTTACTCCATTTACTTACATTCAAGTATGCAGCTGTATTTAATAATATAAACGGTTACATTTAAATATACCTATTTATGTCGTTTATCGATCTAATAATATTTTTTTTAAATAGTAATACATCGGCACTCACTTGGTTTAGGCTTTGTGATTGTTGTTATTCCAAGACTAAGTACCGTGGTTTAAGAACAAGAACAACTAATAATATTAATAACTAGCGACTCACTCTCACTTCGCTCGTGTTGGTCCCTCTATGGCATGTCCTCTAATGACAAGTATAAACAAATGCACAATATAAAGATAAAACAATGTTTACCTCGTCTGAAAATTCTGCCAGCGATAGCCACAATAGTAGTCTGTCCAATAAATTAGAGTCAATATGTAAGATCTACATATATGTATGTATGTATAACTGAACAATATTTGATATTAGCATCTTATCGATTAAATTAATACTGAGAACCAATTTCACAGATATTAGTTAACAAGTATTTAGCTTGAGTGGAGTAGTTTAGTTTCGATACGATATATACTAACGGTTTACTGCCTCGATGGTCTAGTGGCTAGCATGTACGGACGCAGATCCGGAGGTCCTGGCTTCGAGTCCCGTATCAAGTTTTATAATTTGTTTATATATTGAGATTTTCTATTAAGAAATTCTCAGTAACAGCCCAGAGTTGGGAATTTGGCGGTATTAAGCTTCCACGGCTCGGAGTGCACGGAAAGACGCGGTCCTGCGCCTGATTTCTCACCGTTCATCTCAAATTGTTATCCCACAAGAGTACAAGAATAGCAGGAGTAGAGAACGCACTTAGGTTTATAGGCATACTTGTGCACTATAATATCTCCTGCGCAGATGGATAATCTCAATGAGATTCCAAATCGATGAGGAGGCTCAATCCGTAGTAACCCTACTTATTGTGCCAACGGTCACGGATTCGAGTTCCTCTGGGGGCATTCATTTGTGTAATGAGCACAAATGCTTGTACTCCAATCATGGGTGTTTATATTTATAATATGTATGTATTTAAACTTATATATATGTAGTGTACCAACTATCTGGTATCCATAACACAAACCTCGTAGCTTTCATGGAACTAGATGGTGCTGGGTGTTAATGTCCCAACATATTTATTTATTTAATTAGGACAGCCTTTATATTTAGTTACAAATTAATATAAAAAGAGTGATCTATTTATTGGTTGTCGACTGGAACGACTTGATCAATAACAGAAAATCATAAACACTCGTATGTCCAAACAATTATAAAAGATAATTAATGCACACATAAACTTCTCTACTGCTTCATTGCTTACGTAAAAGTGAATTACATGTAAGAATAAATGCAAATTCCCACAATAAAGCTTTTTGAAAGACTTAAAGAACTAAATAAATTCAATTAAAACCCTGATTAAGTCGTGAAAGAAATTGTTTTTGCACAACGTACATAACCAATTTAAGTTGACCTCCCCAGTTCTGTACAAACGTGAATCACTAAGTGATATGTGACCATTCCCAGAGTTCAAGCGCAATTGCTATCATATTTAAACCTCGGAATACAAACGATGCCACTTAAAAGTTTGATGCATTCGGAATATATTCCATTAGCGTTTTAAGGTCTCATTTTAAACAGATGGCTGGTAAAAAAGTCTGCGATTGGTAATCGATATTACCTTTCAATAAACTTACAGCTACTGTAGTTTTACACTATTTTCTTTTATTTACTGATTTCTCAGAGATGAAATATTTTCCCGCTGTAAAAAGTATCTAATTTGTTGACCCATATACCCAGCTATCAACATACCAAATTTCATCAAAATCTGTCCAGTGGTTTTTTCGTGATTCGGTCGCAGACAGACAAAATTTAAAAAAACTATAGATTCATTCTCTGTATCGATAAAAAATACTGTGTTAATAAGATTTTCCAAGAAAAATATTTAATGTACAGATTCGACTCAGAATTTCATTATATGCATATGTGAACCTCGTGTCGTATACCATATATCCCATGTGTTACGATATATCCCATATTTGACCTTGATTGGATTTATATTAGCTGTTACACCAAATATCATAGGGGCATTTTATTAAATATTAAATTATTTAAATTTGGATATTTTGATCATAATTTTTTAGTCTAATAACAGTGTTTATTTGGAGAGTGCACGCTGTGGGCAACATAGTAAAGTGGACTTGGACGCTAAGTTTCAACCTACTCACAGATTTTCATATGCTAATCTTCTTTTAAACAAGCTTAATACTTGTTTATCAATATCAATACATATTATAAAACTAAGTTCCCTCACCGCATCTGTCTGTCTGTCTGAACGCGATAAACTCAAAAACAAACGGACAGATTTGGATACAGTTTTCACCAATGGACAGAATTCATAAAGAAGGTTTATATGTATGATTTAAGATTTTGTGTAAATTGTCTGGAATTGTTGCTCTAGTTGGTGCTTCGCGTAAACCAATAGGGTTATATGAAAACAATGTATTACGGAATTATTCCTCTTAAAAAGATCTATTAAACTGTAACAACCATATAGAAGAAAAATATCACGAGGAAAAAAAATTAAAAATAAAAAAAAAAAAAAAGAAGAACTGATGAGTCGCAAGTTAAATAATTATTTAATTGTGTAACTTTAATATTTTACATCAAATATAAAAAAACAAATCATAAAAATTTAAAACATTCTGTTTATATTTTGTAAGGCGTAGGATACATTTTATCTCAATCGAAGAGCCGTTTTTAAAACAAACTATAGTACAAGTCATGAACGGTTTGCAGCAGGCTTTAAGATTACAGACGAATCGGTACAGAACAGAAAATATTAATAGTTTTACTGTAACTTAAGTTAGGACTACGCAAGTTTTAACTTAATCTTCAACTTGGTGTGAAGAACACATCTGTTCCCTTATTTATTTTTACTCAGTATAATACTTACTACAGCGAAACGCTTTTGGCGGTGCAAGAACTTTCTGGGACTTAGAACTTTAACGCGTGTTTAAAAACGACGAACTATTCTTAGCGTATGCGTGGATTATATGACATAATGTAAGCCAGACTAAATGTCAGATTAAAATTTTGGATCAATTATGATTTTCCATATATAAACTAAAAATACTTCGTTGTAAAAACTATACGTAGTTAAGTTAATATATATTGGAGGAGGTTAAGATGTATATATATACGTTCATCATTGAAAATAAAAGGTTATTAATAAATCAAATAAAAATATAATTTACTCAGCCTAACTTACGTTTTGGATTATTATTTACAATTATAGTCGTACATATATAGTCATACCAGTGGAACAAATATAAAAAAGTCTTGAAGACTTTAAGACTATAAATATGAATCAATTTTTATAATAATTGCAAATAATGTAAATAGAACCAAAATCTATTCTAATATTATAAATCAACATTGCCCGCGGCTCTGCCCGCGTTCAGATGACCGAAACCTAAATTCTTAGGTTTTACATATACGTATATATTTTTTTTATAGTATTCTGAATTATTGCTTGACAACGTTCCACCTGATGGTAAGTGGTAACGTAGTCGTAGATGGTAAGTCGCACTAATTAATACATTGCAGATTTTGTATTTTTTCCCAAAAATGAGATATTTTCCCGCGGTAAAAAGTATCCTATATGTTGACCCGGATATCCAGCTATCGCTATACTAAATTTCATCAAAATCCCTCTTGTGGTTTTTCTGTGATGCGGTAACAGACAGACAGACAGACAGACAGACAGACAGACAGACAGACAAACAGATAGATAGACAGACAGACAAAAATTCTAAAAACTATAGATTCGGCCTCTGTATCGATAATGACGTTTATTTCAATAAGATTTTCCAAAAAATATCTAATGTACAGATTCGGCTTAGTTACAATTTTATTATATGTAATAGATGTGAAAGTTTTTGAGGATGGATGGATGTTTGTTACTCTTTCACGTCAAAACGGCTGAATGAATCTGGATAAAAGGCCCAGAGATAGATTATAGTCTGGAATAGCAAATAAGATACTTATATCACGAAAAAAAATCACGGTTCCCGTGGGAGAGATTTGTGTTTGTCTAGAGACCCGAAGCGCAGCAAGGGTAAGTCGCTAGTACTATATACATAAATCGTTTCTCTATGTTATAAACTTGCTTAATCACTGTGAGAAACATTTTCGAATATAAAACAAACTGTATTATTCAATAAAGAATTAAAGTTTGTTTAATGTACGAAAAATGATAAATAAGAAAGTAAGTGGTTCTTTACTCATTTTTTATTATAAATAAAGAAAGAAATTAAATAATACGTTCATAGCTTCTCACGAATATTGGACATTTTAAATAAAACTATGATATTTAAATAATAAACGGAAGAGACTCTCCCGCTACGATAAGTGCTGTACATTAGAAATGACAACAAAACATCAAAATAAATCTGCGAAATAATCCGAAAAGATATCCAAATTATATTTAAAAGAAATTAAAACTAATTTATACAGCAAAAATCACACCATCCTACATATTTACATCTCAACAGCACAATGCGGGTGTTTGTCCATTCTTCCAGCGTATTTAGACAACAAACTGTTTTGTTGATCTTCACAAAAAGTGAAAACAGAGCAGTCGGTAATTGAAAACACTCAAGAATGGACGCAAGAACTTTACCCATTTTCTTTTTACTTCTAACGTCAGTTGTTATTGTAAGTGGGACAAAAGGAAAGTCTAAAATATACTTTACGCTTTCTGTTGAAATTTTAACTTAGATTTAGTTTTAATTACAGCCTTCTGGGTCGTTTCATTTGTCAATTTGTTTATTGTTTCATGTTTAAATTATTTTAATATTTAAGAAATTTGTAGGTACTTCTATTTTAATGTTTTATCCAAATAATCACTGAATATAAAAGGCATTTTGCAATAGTTATATTTTTTAATTTATCTTTTTTTTGTTTTATTATTTACCCAGAGAAATAATATAATTTACTCAAAATATATCCTATAGACCGGAAGTGGACGGCTAAACGAAGAGCATAGGCTTTCTCAAGGGTTTGAGTTCTAAATTTGTGTAAAATTTTAAAAATAACTATACTGATAAGTAGAATTCTTAATAAATTCTATTAAAATGTCAATTTTATTTTTATCAATAAATAGGATGCTTGGCAAAGCGAAGATGAATACTCAGACCGAGGATTACGAAGAGGCATTCACTATCATTCCAAACGACACATGCTAGTACGGGAAAATGAACGTAAGAGACGAATCACGACACAAAAACCAAAAGAGCTGAGGAAAAAGGTAGTGCTACGCTTTGAGAACTTCATTTGGTTATTGGATATTTTTTTACTTATGCACATTTTTTTAATAGTTGATGATTATAATGCTGTAACTATTTTTGCAAGGTATCGTCCAAGATAGTATGGCCTTTCTTGAATTTTTTTTGCTATTATTATCCAAAACTCGAGCAAAATCTATTCATTTTTTGCGTTAACTATGATCATTAACACTATTTTTGAAGTAATGTATTGTACTAATAAAACTACTAAACTTCTCCGTCATTATATAAGAAAAGATTTCGATTGAGCTATCTCAATATAAATACTTATTGTGTCTGAAAATATTGATTTCGAATGTTGATTTGGTTTTAAAACCAAATAACTATCATCATGATCTCATTAAATATTTTCACACCCTTCAATTTTTTCAGCCAACAGGTAATTTAAAACCTATACAAGCGGATGAAATGGAGGACTTCGAAGTTGTTTCCGTAGCAGTTGGTCCTCCAGTACGACCTAAATACGACAAAGTATTCAAACATTTACCAAAATCAACAAATCACGCAAATAATTATACTAATACCAACGTAGTAGTGAACCTTGTTAAAGATGTGATAGCACAAATAGGAAGAGAATTTCTAACGCGTCCATTAAGCGAAGACTTTATTTTTGGACAGTATGTTGGCTTATCTATAAAAAATTTGACACGAGAGCTAAAACTAAAAATTCAGCATGAAATTTTAGATTTAATAGTAAAATATCAGAAAATAAGTTTTGGAGATGGCGTCTCAATAACAACAAATACTCAATTAGAAGAGAAGACACCACTGCCGTTGTTAAAAGAAATAAAATTAGATAAGAAATTCATTAACGATACCGCAGATGAAGGGTGGCCAGATTTTAAAAATTTGGCTAAAATTGTTGGTTAGAATTAGAAAACGTAATGAAAAGATAGAATTTTTTTTATTATACGTTTAGAAATTAATGCACAATTTTGCTGGTATTTAATATTATTCAGCTTATCTAAGCTACTTAGCTTTAACGTCTGTGATAAACTGGGTCGCTTCTCTATTTAAGTGTTATATTAGATTAAGCTATAAAGAGGTTATATTATATTAATATCAATTTTCATTTAATATTGTTTACTAGCGGCCTATGTGTTTTTTCAGATTATAATCATTATCTATGCCAAATTTCATCTCGATAGATTTACTTTGAAAAGTCATAAAACCAAGAGCACTTTCATGTGTACTTTACTTAATATTTTAATAAAGTTTATGGTTAAATTATTTTCTGATGTTTAATTATTTTTATTTTGACGAAAATAAATACTATGTTTTTAAATCAAAGGTTTTTGTTGGCTTGACTAGAAGAACATAAAACCTCCAACTCAATCTAACCTGTACAACACGATAAACATTCTGGCACCTCTAGACAGAAGTGAAAAAAACTTTCCATCCTCCAGAATTCCTGTTATAAGTCAGAAGCTATCTATATATATATAAAAAAAGTATAAAAACTTTTTTTAGAAACAAAGTTTTATTTAAATGCGCTAGAAAAAATACAATAATTTTTTCCTTTAAAACTTTTACTATCAACTTATAACGTCATATAGCAATTTATATGATAGCTTGTCGCGAGATTTACCTGTATAGATAAACAAGTAAATTAAATAACTTCATCTGATTGGTTTTAATTTTTTTAATTTTCAAACAAGTAAATACGAGTACCTATTTAAGTCTCGCGACAAGCTTTTATATCATATAAATTGTGTAATGACATTATAAGTTGATAGTAAAAGTTTTATAGGAAAAGTTTATTTTATTATTTTTAGTGCATTTAAAAAAAACCTTGTTGCTAAAAAAAGTTTTTATACTTTTAATTTTAAACTCGCATTCGTATTACATACTTTAGGAAGGTTATTTAAACTTAGCCTGCCCCCTTTAGAAATCCGTCCAGTCCATATTGTAGGAATGCATTAAAAATAACTAGTCCATCATCTTGGGTGTTCCGCCAGGTTGAATTTAAAATGAAGTCACACAGCTAACCATGCATTGTCACCCAAAATAAACATGTACACAAAATTTCAGCCCAATCGGTTGAAAATATCTGCTTCAAAATTGAGTTGCAAGATTCCACTTGAACAAACATAGTTACATAGTTAGAAGCTTGTAAAAACATATACCATTCCATGTCAAAAAAAGACGTATTCCTATCTTAGATATTAGTCAATTTTCTATGTAATCAGATTTAGTGTTTGTTTTTCTCTTCTTTCTTAACGGTCAATTAATATATAATGTTTTCTCTATTTTACGCGACATTGGAAGTAAGTTATACCTACCCAAATTGAATTGAATTGATATTAGTAAAAATATTGAAATATGTATATGAATGTACCAAATTCATGTTTTTTCCCCTATAACAGTATTCCAATGAACTCTTAATACCTAAATACACGCCCCGCCCTGTCTAATACGATCCGCTAGCTTCCATTACAAAGCAATTTCCCACCCGCAAGGCAATTTTATTATTTTTGTTCCCTACAATGAAAGGTACTTTTAACAGCTTTTAAGTTTTTATGGAACTTTCCGGTTCTATTGATGCAATAACGATCTAATAAATTAAGTTAGTGTAGACTTATGAGTATACAAATAAAGCTTATACGTACATATGTATACACATACTAAATATAAATATATACATAAATGTCGGGACATTAACACACAGCAGTTCTTGATTTAACTCTTTAGACATTATATTTATACCTCAGATAATATAATAATACAAGTATTTATTAAAAATCTTAGTGGCTAATAAAAGAGATTTACTTTTTTACGAACACACATTAAGATGTTATAACTTTTTCTTGGGTGTTTCTATTTTATACAAGTAATTCTATCAAAATATGAAAAATTAAAACCAAAAAAACTTATTTTATAGTACAATTTATTTCCAAATACAGTAACAAACTCATTTATTTTACATTTATTCATGCCTCGATTTGGAAGAATTGCAGTTAAATTACAACATTATATTAAAATAAAATGAATCTAAAGAGCGTTCTCTTACATTTGTTAAGACTTAAGTAATAACGGAAGTGACGGCCTGTTAGCTTAAATTGTTGGTGAGATGCTACAAAGTCCTAGAAATGCATTCATTTCAGTTATTTTACACTTAACTTTAGGATTTTGAGCGCATTTAATCTAAAAAGAATTAGTACTTGCTATTTTATATAATACTAGGGTTCGTCCCTAGGTACGTTTTAACGGTATATATAGAATAGACATTATATAATATGTATATATCCGTCCATCCGTCGAGCCGTCCGTCGAGCCGTCCGTCGAGCCGTGCGTCGAGCCGTCCGACGAGCCGTGCGTCGAGCCTTACCTCTTTATAATATTAGTATAGATACATTATTATCTAAAATATTTATTTTAAAGTAAGAAAGATTCATTGAAAATTCATTGTACCCGGATAACCAGCTATCATCATACCAAATTTCATCAAAATCGTCCAGAGGTTTTCTCGTGATGCGTTCCCAAACAGACAAACAGACAAAAATACTAAAAACTATAGATTCGGCTTCTGTATCGATAATAATGACTATTTCAGTACGATTTTCCAAAAATATTCCTTAAAACTAAACAAATAAAACAGAAATATAGACATACCTACTATAAAATATGTTGTTGTTAAAACAAAAAGTGCAATATTACTAAATCAAGAGATCAACGGAGGAACTTTTGTGACATTTTCAATCACCGCCATTATTTCCAAATCATGCGGTGCGCAATGAAATTCGTATACATAATAATATGTAAGAGTATAACAATATGTAAAACCTAAGAATTTGGTTATTAGTCATCTGAATGCGAGCAGAGCCGCGGGCAATGCTTGTCTAAGATAAAAAAAAGTGAGCACTAAGTAAGAATTTTTGAAATATTTACTTTACGGAGATTCCTTAACGCAGACGTACACACGTAAGAAACGTAGATATTGGCTCTAGAGAAGTTGCCAGTGGAGAATCTCATCTAGCACACAGCTTCAGCTATTTAATAGATATTTAAAGAAACACTTAAGTTACACATTTTAAAGTACATTTCATATTTTCACACACGATTCATATTTATGAAAATGTTTTGTATTCCGATAAACAGTACAAAGAGCACAATGCATCCATTATTCTCTTAGGTTTAGTCTTTATAGCCACAGCTTAAATTATAGATAAGCTGTGTCACATCGGGCGTGTATTATAAATGTGAAAGTTTGTATGTATGTATTTTGACGACACGTTTGGCTCAGTTGGTAGTGACCCTACTTGTTGTGCCTGCGGTCGCGGGTTCGAGTCCCGCTGGGGGCATTCATTTGTGTGATGAGTTCGAATGTTTGTACTCCAGTCATGGGTGTTTATATTTATGATATGTACATATGTATTTAAAAAAGTTATATATGTGTAGTGTATCAGCTATCTGGTATCCATAACACAGGTTTCGTAGCTTACCGTGAAACTAGATGACGCTGTAGGTTAATGTCCCAACATATTTATTTATTTATGGATGTCTGTGCCTATTACTCTTTCACACTGCACGAATTTAGAGGAAATTTAGTACACTTTTTAGGCTGGAAATAAGATGTTGCAATTTGTTTGTTTTTATTTCAACTTTTTTTTCTTACTTCTATCTTACTAATATTATAAATGTGAAAATTTAGATGGATGTTTAGATGTTCATTACTTGATCACGCTAGAACGACTGAACGGATCTGAATGAAATTTGGCACAGAAATTGATTATAGTCTGGAATAGCATATAGGCTACTTGTTATACCAGAAAAATGTACGGTTCTCGTAGGAAATATATTTTTGTTTTCTTTAATAATTTATCTCCCTTGATTTTAAGCAATCAATGTTAACTTAAACAATAAAAAAAACGCAAACCATTCTTTTCGTCCGTACTCAAGTTTTAACAACCGAAAAACTAGATTCTTCAGAAATCAATAGAAGAACTTGACCATAATGTAACACAATACAGAACATATTTAGGCAAAATAAGTAAAGGATATTAGTTATGCCAAGTTTATTCTCTACCTTTAGTAGCCTATTTTTTTGGACTGTGAAAAGCTTCCACTATCTTTTATACAAAAAATAAAATTCTACCTGAGTCAAATCTGTACATTAAATATTTTTTGGAAAATCTTATTGAAATAGTCATTATTATTGATATTGAAGCCGAATCTATAGTTTTTAGGATATTTGTCCTACTGTCTGTCTTGGAACGTATCACGAGAAAACCACTGGACAGATTTCGATGAAATTTGGTATGATGATAGCTGGTTATTCGGGTCAACATATTGGATACTTTTTACTGCGGCGACATATTAATCTCTGAGAAATCTATACTAAATGTTAAAACGTAACTAGAGACGAACTCGGATTATTCCCTAGTATTATTATAACCTTACAAAGAAATAACTTGAATAAGTTAAATAAGTGTACAGACTTAACTAAAAAAATACCAATTTGAATTGCATTTTTTCCTCCCTTTAAAATGGATTTTTTTCATACAAAATTGCAAAAATAAAACCAAATTAAATGCCTCCTTTTTTAAATCGGTTATTAAAAATATTCTTTTAAATACATTCTATATAAAATATTGTTATAGGTTATGGCTTAGCTTTTAGCTTTAACAAAAGGAAACCTTGATCTTGTTGTCTAAAGTAAAGGAATATAATACTATACATTGTTTCTGCATGTATAGAGTATACATTGTTGTTTTGTTATATCATAGTTTACTAATGCACTTAGAAATCTTTTGTCTCTCTTTTCTTAGCACTGAGACGGAATTTAATAAAAATTGATGTCTAATATATAAATATCTCGTGTGTTTGTGGTCGCACTCCTCCGAAACGGCTCGACCAATTTTAATGAT